TTAAAGGCTTAAGCTACAACATATGGTAAGGCCAAGAGAAAAAATAGCAGTCTGGCTGTTGTGGAAAATATGCTCACTTTATAAGGAGGCTGTTTGGCTCCTGCATTTTTGCTCCTCCAGAAAGCTTGAAAATGCTGTGGATAGCAGTAAGATATTAGTGGGGGAGTTGGGGAGGAGGAAGAGGCAGCTGGGAAAATCAAACAGCTGCTCTGAGAGGGGACAGATAAATTACTAGCAATAATATATACACTAGCTAACTATTAGTATATTAGTTAACTAAGGGTGGGCAAGTGGAGCATGAGTCCTGGGCACTGAAAGAAGGGTGGGCACCAGAACACAAGTAGCAGGGAGTGGGGCAAGAGCCTTCTCATCAGCCCCCCCAAACAAGCCCTGGAAACAAGGCACTGTTGCTACAGGTCCAGTCAGCAGCCAGGGAGTTAACATTGCCAGGTGGCAGAGACCTTCTTACAGCCCATAGCCACTTTTCACACCATTGCTTGAGATGGGGATCAACAGCAGTGGCAGCTGCAATATTGGGTCATGAGAAAATTCATACATCTGGCAGCTGCTGGCTATGCTTACACCTCCCTCCGCAGAAACAGCAACTCCTTGCTAGCTCAGGATCAGGGAACCTCTTCAGGAGATAGTTACCAGCATGAAGTGAATTTGGCAGGTTCGGCATCTGGGGGAAAGAAGTGTCCATGTTCCTGTGAATGACTCCATTATTTATGAGAAGAACAGAACCTCATGTTAGGGCAGCAACGTACACCATCTCCCTTGGTTCTCCAAACTGCATTCCTTATCTCCAGTTCTGAGTACATATAATATCTGGCTGGACTCTTCTTGGTTCACCCATTTCAGTTTTCTGAAAATATCTTAGGTCACTCAGACACCCTTTCAGCTGCAGAGGGCACTGTTCCAGGTTAGGTATGCTGGTGAAGCCATGCAGGGAAAGCAGGGAAAATACTCAGTAAGTCACACAACAACTCACCATTTCAAAGAAATACATTGGAATATTTTATTGCAGGAGATCACACATGGAGCAATATGGCCAAAATGTTTCCTTTACATTGAATCTGCTGACCTATGAGCCAAGCAGTGGCATCTACATATTGCATTTAAATATGTGAAATCATACCAGAGTCTAATACAACACACTGAAGACTTTCCATGCTTTCTACTTTCTCATTAATGTATTTACACCCCCATAAAATACAATTGTGAAATATAACTGATGTACTAGTAACACAGCCCACCAATTCCCAGGCTAGAAACTGCAATCTAGTGGAGTGTTGTTAACTACAGCCTCCCTTTTATCCTAGTCCATAATTACTGTATCACAAACACTCTTAATAAATGTAAGCACTTGCTATTCAGTGCCATTCTGCTCCTGCTCACTATGCAACATGGTCATGTTAAAGTTTAATCTATGAACAAGCCCTGGAAGAAATTATTGGGTATGGATGTCATATGGGATTCACAGTGGGACCAGAAAAAGTACTGTACCAGTCTACAAGCTGGTTTTATTTCTATTACTTGGCAATTTTTTAGCCAAGCCTTATGCTATTCCACAAGATGCACCTTTCTGATCCCTGGAGTAACTGTTAATGATCTTCCCATAATACATGCTTACTTGGAAGGACTTAGTAGACCTCCTGAGCTTGTCTGGGAAGAGGCTGGGACACAGAATGGGTACATGGTACTTCTGTTAATACATCTGGAACACCTTGCAAAACTCAGCTGCTTAAATCAGGGATTAGCAATTCGTGTCCCATGGTCATGGGGCTTTGCCCATGCTTGTCCGTGGTCACTCTCCCTATGATGTCACAGGGAGAAGCAGCAGCAGCTGCAGGACCTCTCCCTATGCCACTGTGGAGAGAAGCAGTAGCTGAGTCCTAGCGCCTACGCACTTGCCATTGTTTTGAGTGGGGTCATTCTGGCCTGCAGCCTGAAAAGGCTGCTGACTGCTGGCTTAAATCTATTTCAGGCATGTCTGGAACTCAATCACAGCCCCCTCAAGGTATTAACCTGTACATCCTTTCACTACAAAAGCAATTATTTCTGGTTCCTTCCAGTTGATAATTCTAGGATAGCTGGATAGTCACCTTCCTCTTGCTGGGACAGGTGTCTCATCCTCACCGTTTGGCACTGCAGTGTCCGAGTGAAGTCAACAACAGTTCTAGAACAATTCTCTCTCATCCTCAGGTTGCACAGGCAAAGCTGGCTGACCCAAGTCAATCAAGCAGCTCTGTCCTAATGATTACAGTACACCTGGTGCATAATGTGAATGGGAAAAGTAGTAATAGGACCCTGATGAGGTCAGGGAGCTGCTCAACTCCTAGCTTCCGCAGGGTCTGCCCAAACACACCACCAGCTTCCAGCAGCTGCCTCAGATTTCTTAACTGCTCTTAGAATCATAAAAAGTTAGGGTTGGAAGAGACCACAGGAGGTCATCTAGTCCAACTCCCAAAAAACTCTAGCATAGCTCTTCAAAAACTCTAGTATAAACCTCTTTGAGACATTCAAGTTTAAAGCATTAACTATGGCTTCTCTTTTCTGAATTGGCTTAGGAAATGGCACTGAAGCCATGGGACTTATGGAAGGCTCCTAAAAAAAATGAGCCTTTCCCCCACACATCCCCAGGCTTCCCACAGCACCTTAGAAACCCTTTCAAAATTTATATATATTGATATATACCCTTCCAAGAAACAACTGCTTATGTAAGCCTGCACCAAAAACAACAGGCAGAAGGGCAGTGCAAATTACCATGCTGTAAAATAACAGTGCAGAAAAAGAACAAAATTGCAAACAAATGCAAATAACTGTGTAGCTGTTGATCAAGCCGTGCAGAAGTCTAGCCATTAATCTTCAAATTTAAAAGCCTGGTTCTAGAAGTTGATTAGTTCTTTCTCCTTCCCGTATTTTAAGATTAAACCCTCATGCTCCTCAAAACACAGCCTTACATGTTAAGGCATTACAAAAAAGCATTACTCTTTAGTGTTTACACTCTGGATTTGTTGTATATATATTTATTTTGTTCTAAACAGACATTATTTCAACTAAATTCTGGATGGTGTTTTACTGTATAGTCCTACTTAGAAACACTGAACTTACCAGTTAGCTAGCCTCAGAATGTGGTCCTTTTACAAGCATCTTTTGGTGAGGAAAGTAAATAAGTACTCCTTAAAGCACTACAAACAATTAAGGGAATTTCATTGTTCTCAGCTAGTTTTACCTGCCTTTTAAAAAATGTAGTTTCTTAATCCGTTACTAACTTTCAAAGCACATTTCCCACTCAAGAGTAGGGAATCCCATAGGAAAATACTTAAAACTTCAGAAACATTTAGTTGCTTGCCAGTATCCACAGCTAAAACCAAACTCTAATGCCATACCAAATATGGCCCTAATCCTACACTGCTGGGCAGAGGGAACAGTGCTGTAGCTCTGTGAAGACCAGCTGAAGTAGGTGGCTGTTACAAAGGCACAGGAGTCTGCCCACATTCTCTGTTCTGTAGATCAACTAAATGGCATCAGTTTCCAAGATAAAAATCAAGACTATACCAAATTTTGGGCTTATTAACCCACAGTGAATTGCACAGTTGAGATACAGCACAATCTCTCTTGGTATTAACCTACCAAGAGGCAGTGTAGCCTGTCAGGCTCTGTCCCACCCTACTGCATATTGTGCCAGTCAGCTATTTACTCACATTCTCATCAATCACATGTAAACGCATCTGTGAACACGATGCACTGTTGAAAGTCAGTGGCTCTTAACTACAGTGCTGCAAGATCCTTTCAAGGGTGCTGTGCGTGGCATTGCTGTTGCTGCTACCACAGCCAGGTGAAACTGCCCCATGCAGAGGCATAAGCACTGCTGCACTAGGAAGTGAATGTAGCAGGCAGGGGCAGAGAGAGCAAAGAGCTCATTGCACATGGAAGAAATCTGATCACAGGATCAGCCCCATGTTTCCAATCCGAAACTTTTTGGTGTATAGAAGGACAGCGACCATTTACTTATTTATTTAAAGAATGCAACTTTGGCAGGCTGCTCCTTTAAGCCATCTCAAGCTAAGGTGCAAAGAAATGCAGAAGACTGATGGGGCAGCAGGGAGACAGCCAAAACACCCAGCCTGTTCTCCTTGCCCCCTGCACAGGATAGCTTGGACCATGTAGGTGCATGCACCTCTGCATGCAGAGGTTGTGACAGCACTGCCCCTTTAAGGGCAAAGAGGGGACAAGAACATGTCACTCAGGAAGCAGGGCACAAGCCCAGTGACCTCACTATGCCAGGGAATGTGCAGAAGCCTGGAAAACACCCCCTGCTTTGCCCAGCACTACCAGCTGCAAAACAGAGGGGCGCATGCACTCTATATGAAGGTCCCAAAGTTAAGCCATCACAAAGGTAGGTTTAAACAAACCTGTAAGAAGGTGAAGTCCTACAATTGCTCCTTTAGGCCCTGCCTGCGGTGCTCGCATCTCTGACAAGGACTGTTCTTACTGGCATAGTAACTGCTGCTCCCACAGCTGAGGGAGGCAGCCTGGACTGCACCAAAGGTTATCTTACAGAGCCAAGCTGAGCTGTGCGTTCACTTGCCTGGTGCCAAACAAGTAGCACAGGAATCCCTGATATGTGAGAGGCTAAGGCAACAGAGCCACACAGGCTTGCTTTGTACAGTTCAATTTAGAAGCAGTTAGTTACACAATGATCCTTTCTTAAAATTCATTTTAAGATAGGTTTTTTTTTTTCTTGTAAGAGAGAAAGACTTCACACTTCAAGCTTTTGGGTTCTTCTCTCACAGTGGTTCTCAACCAGAACGCCACTACCTTCAGAAAAGTTATGGAGGGGTGCCTTGAGTCTAAAAGGGTTGAGAACCACTGCTGTATTTTACTTAGGATCACTAACAGGTAGATCCTAATCTCAAGCCAAACAGATCAATTTCACACAAACTTATTTCACGCAAAATGCAAACAAGAAATGCTTCAAATTATAGACATTCAGATTTTCTTTAAACCTTTTTATTTAGAGATTTTTCTGGTAAGGAGATATACCGTAGGAAAGCAATTTCACTGGCAGTGAGGTATGTATATACTCTACCAAAATACTCCTCTTGTTTTAACTGCTTTTAACTTTATTTACATATACAGAAAATATCAATGCATATCCTTGGCTTAACTACAGTATTAATTACCCTACATGAATAAAATGAAATGTTACTTGCATACAAAACTGATTCAGAGAGGAATTTGATTTACTGATTAAAAATTAAATCATGTTTGAAGACAGCCTAAATGAACAAACACAAATTTATCATGACCAAGACACCTGCACCATATTTTCCATCCTCACAGCACATTTATTTCAGTAACTCCGTAAGTAGGTCCTTAGCATGAGCATAGTGTTACACAGTTTCATACATATTAATCACATCCAAAACAAGTTCTAAAATTTAAATTGTAAACATTCTCTTCATATGTAGAAACATTTCAATTGGTGGTCAAATTTGCTAAAACGATATTTTGTTAAACAGAATTATAAATGAAAAGGTCTAGTCTAAACCGTGTAGTGAGCAATGCTTATTAGTACATTTCTACAGTGTTAAATAAAGTAGTAGAGGCAAACTGTTCTGTAAGCAAGTCAGACTTTCATAAAGAAACAAACGTGTTAACAAAAAGATGCTTCGCAATAAAGGAAGTTAGATTTGAATCTATGATACAGATGTAAGGGTAAATACCATCTTTGTTGACAAGTAGGAGGTAGCATAGATGCACCACTTTATTGTCAGTGAGAAATGCAACTGAAGTAAAGAATATTTCCTTACCACAAATAATTTCCAGTACTATGTACATATTTCTCTTAGAAATATTTGTTTAAACAAGTTTCCCTCCACTTTTTAGTACAAAAAGCTTCATGTGATTTAAAAAAAAAAAAACACTTACACACCTAGATAGAATAGTACTAATTGCCCTATTTGAATGAAACAGTCTTTTGAACTATGAAGTACATGATATTTAATGCCCTAAATTGAGTAAATTGTATTAGCAGTTCTTGGTATTATACAAAACACTACATACATACAAACAAAATATAATAATATCTTATTTTACTATGCAAGTCTTTTTGGAATAAACAGAGCCTTGATTCTGGTAACACTGCTGAGAACATGGTTTTGTTTTATTTTCATTTTTTTAATAAAATCTGTCTTTAAGTACCCATGTGCAACAATTTAAAAATGGCTGCTTTACATGTAATGGTTTCGTATTGATAAGTGAACACAGTAACTGACAAAAACATAGTAAACCTTAAAAACACATCTTTCACCCTATATAAAATATAAAGACTACTTACTGTAACTGTTAAGTACTCATTTTATTTTGATGTTACTGTAATTCACCTTCCCCATCTTTCTGGCTTCAGGATTTATAAACATAATTTAGTGTAGCAACTTTAAAAAAAAAAAGACAAAGTATTTCAAATTTACACCCAATTCAAATTTAAAATGTTTGTTCTATGATGCTGCTTCTGCCATCAGTAAAGAAAATGAAGTTTCAGTAATTGAGGCAGGCTTTTTAAGTAGTGATGTGACTTCAACCATGCCAGCTCCAGTTCGTGGAAGATTTGCGTTGACAATGTGTCGCTGCAAGTGCTTTATCCAGTCTTCCTGAACAGACAAAGGTCCACGGAAGACCAGACCACAAAACCTGTGCAAATTAAAATAATTTCATTAAGATATGTTAGCACTATTGAAGACATTATATGATAAGAATTAAAAAAAAACACACAACACTTTAAGGTTAATATATTATTCTTTGATTATGCATTTCAGGTTTTCTAAACACAAGATTAAAATTTATATTACAAGATCTGCCTATTCGTCTTGCCATAATTAACAATCTCTTCCCTTTAACAGAGCTGGGTTTTTTTGGAGTAGGAAACGCAACAAAAGTTTTCGTTTGAGAAAGTGGAAGCCTAAAATCTGTTGAAAAAAATAAGACCGTTTCAAAAATCTCTTGCGTCCCAGGGCCGATCTCAATCTACGCCCGCCCACTTGTTTCCAGCCAAACCTGCCTGTCTTGCCTGCCATGCCTCAATGTTCCAGATTATCAGATGTTAATCAGGCAGGAGGCTGCCCTTTACCTGCTGTGATGACAAGGGCCTCTGTACATGCTCAGACCTCCCCTTGATGTGTCCCATACCTCACAGATGTTTCCTCCAGCTAGTTAGTACTGGGATCCAAGCTCCAGAGTCTCACATGTGACTCGCACTCCCCAATGGAGCTTGGGATCCCAGCACCCTCACACTGGGTTCTCTATCCTGGCTCAAACCAGGCCTTATCATACTCTCATTATCAACAAGGCTCCCAGTCCCATCTCTGGGCCTACCAGCTCCTACCCTAGGCTCTAGGCCCAATCCTTGGGTGCCAAACCCCATACCTGGGCCACAATCCTCTCCCGGCTCCAAGCCCCATCCCCAGGCATCTAGCTACTCTCGCTCTGGGTCCTAGGCCCTCTTGCCACTGACTCCAAGCCTCTCACAACATGGACTAGGGCTCCAAGCTCTGTCCTTCAACGGAGTCTAACATCCGGATCCCCAATATGCTCCAGGCTCTCCTGCGAGACTGGGGCTGGCACAGGTCCCTCCACCTGGCCTGGGCCCTGCCTTGGTGCTTGCAGTGAGCCTGGGTTCCCCTGTTTCAAATCACAACCCACTAGAGATGTGGGGGCTGGGGGTTTCAGGTGCCCCTACCCACCTTTCACCGGGGAGGTAACTGGCCCATTATTTCTGGGGAGCTACCCCACCACAGGTAGCTCCACCAGGTCACCCTTCCCCGTCAGGGTGTAGTTTCAGGTCATGCCCAAGAGCATGGGAACTCCTCCTTCCCCATAGCTCCAGCCCTTACCTCCAAGTGGTGCTGACCTTCCGGCTCTTGGCAGCAGACTGCTGCCCTGCAGTTCAGGGACCCAGCCCTTATATACTCCAGCTGGGCCCTGCTCCCCAATCAGGCATCAGTGTCTGATTGGGATTACAACCAGCTGTAGGCTGCTGCCTGTGCCCCTATAGGTAACAGAGCACCCTTAGGTTAAAACTACTACTGAACTTGGGCAGCACTAAGCAAAACAAAGAAATACATCCTTTAACTTCAGTTATTTTTTGAGTTATTTTTCTATAAGCAGCCACAATTTATAACCTCTTTAAAATAAAAAAAGAAGAATGTGTCAAGTAACCAGTTGCAATGAACATGTATATACCTGCATCGGAGTATGTAAACTTCATCAGCACTATGAGGTAATGGCAGCATTTTTTTCTTGCTTCCAGATCTTGATCTTGACTTCTTTTGCTTACAGTCTAAAGCTGAGAAGAAACAAGAAAAATCTCCATAAGTAAAATTGAAAAATTAAGTCAGTCTTAAAACTGAAGAGATAGTTAATAAACTTCCATTTATAGTAGTGCTGAAAAGCTATTTATTTCCCCTTACTATGCCATATTGAGTTGCAATCTAAATTCATAGAAGTTGTAACATGCATCAAGCTCTAAAGAATATTTAAAATGCAGGTAACTTTTTTTTTTTTTTAAATTTAAGATTTTTATAGATGAAAACAAGCAATATCAGCCAGGTCATAACTGATCTTAAACATTAAGTCTTATTACCAGCCAGCACTAGTAACTTAGGGCATTTATACACATACTTTTCTGTCCCAAGATGCACTGGAGATCCGCCGCTTTGGAGCAGACTCAATTAATTGAGTTTGCTCTGCACATGAGCTGAGGTGAACTGCACTGTGCTGCATGTAGTTGTATAAGCAGTGAAATGCATAGCAGTGTGCAGAAAACAGTGGCAGTTAGCTTTTGAACTACAGCACCTCCAAGATGGTGTTTTAGTTCAAAAGCATGCCACTGCCATTTTCTCAGAGCTGATGTGCATTTCACCACTTACACAACTGCAAGCATTGCAGCACCAGGCACTTTTCAAAGCACCTGCTGCTGCAGCGCTTAGATATGTAAAAATGCCCTTATTGTAGAATGATATGGAATTACTTAATGACAGTTTGAAATTCCTTTTCATTCTTAACATCATCTCAGACACAGAATCATTATTCATTACTGTAGTTCAAACTATGTTGTAAAAATACACATACATTCAATCAAGTTACATTTTTCAAACTAACATCAGTGAGACTTTCCATCTGCAAGGGATACTTGTGTACATCTGTTACATCATCACGAATGCCTGGCTCACTTGTTCTCATCATAAAAGTGCCAAATGGGAGGAAAAAAGGTTTGGTCCTGTCCTGTCTCTATGGAATTCTGAGATGAAGCTTCCTTAACACTCCTGTCTATTTGAATGCTAAAAGAAATCATAAGAAAACATTATTATCCCATTGCAAAAGGTCTGTAGATATCAGGACAATGCAGTGATGCAAGGTTGCATGCTGAATCATTTTCTTACCAGCTGTTTGAACTATGTATGTAACCACGTAGCACGTAGATTCAATTTAGATTAAGAACCTCTGGACCCTCTCGGGGAGAAGGAATAAAAGTCTACAAAGAATCATTGCAGGGAAAATTCTCAGAACAAACCAAGTTGGGAAGACACTTTAAACTGAAGTTTACATTCTAATCACAACACAATCTTCCAATATAGCCAGGAAGAGCAAATTTGAATTGTTCAGAGAAGGGTGGGGACTCTCTCTATACCCCTATTGCAAAGCAAGAACACTGACACTGAAAGCACAGAAATCCCAAAGTAACAGAAGTACTATCAGCATCTAATTTTTGCAGTCTCTCTCTTTTACAAGTCAAGTTTGCTTCATCACACCATAGGAAAATGTCATAAAGACAACTAACTACTCTCAGCAATCTAACAAAAACTCCTCTCCTTAAGATTTCACACCAGTTGTGAAAACCTCAAGCTACAAAAGTTTAACATTCAGAAAGACCCTGTCCTACCCCACAAAGTTCTGTTGGAATAGCAGTGCTGGCCACATGCATGAAAAGACAAGGCTTGAAGCCAGCACAGCTCTGAGAGCAAAACCCTTAATGAAGATGCAACTGTTGTTAGAAAGTAATTTGGTGACAGAAAAACTCCTGCTAGCAGAGACTGCATCCGTACCACAGCTTTGCTGTCCTGGTTAAGGTAGCAGCAACCCCACAGCACAAACAAAGCTAAACACAGGCTCTTTCTAGACATGCACATCTTCTGAACCCAGGTCTCAGCTCAGTAATCTAAACTAAAAACTCAGGGATGTGACAGCACCAATCCTAAATGCCTCCCAGTAGAAAGAAAGTGAAAAATTCTGTATTTCCAATTCTCTCTCATTAGAGCTTCAGAGCCCTGCTGTTCAGAGGGGGACACAGAAACAAGTTCCTGACTGAGGTGGAAGAATACCTTCAAATAATCATATTGCTGTGAAAAATGAGTGAGAGGAAGGAATAAAACGACAGCTGCAAACTGGCTGGAAACAATAATGAGGGAAGTTACTGAAAAAGTGAGGAGAAAAGTTGAGGGGAGCAGAGAATTAAAATGAAGACACCAGAAGTGTACAAAAGCAGCATTAAAGTGATTCACAGAAGGCTTGAAGGAATTCTAACTACTAGGGGATGGGACACCAGAGCACGCTCTTTGTTGGCACTGCATGAATAGATGTTTGGACAGAAAAGTCAGTAAGAACGTTTAAATCCTCTTGAAAAAAGTGAAAGTGTGTTCTAGGTAGCAGGAAGTGTCCTTAAATGCTTTGTGTCCAATCACAGTTTCTAGTTTCTACAATAAAGAATTCCAGATCTTTCAGGTTTTAGAAAAGCACAAATTTCACAAGAGAAGCAGCCATTAAATCAATGGGTTAACATTTCATACACCACACTATTGGTACCAGCCTCTCCAGAGAACAGCCTTCTGCAGGGAGGAGACCAAGTACTGAAGCCTAGGAACTAATGTGTCTGGAGAGAACTTGTAGCCTAACCTTTGGCCCAGCTGACCAAGGTGGAAACAATCACAGTAGCTTCGCCCCTCTGAACCTTGTAGACTGCCACATGAAAGAGAGCTCTTGTTGGAAGGAGAAGGAAAAGTAGGGAGCCACTAAAACTACAATGTATCCATGTAAACTGTTTCCAGTCACTTAGCAGCTGCAAAACTAACTACAAAATATCAGCACTGAAGAAATGGATTTTTACAGAGGTTCAAGAAACAGAGGGAAAGAATAAAACATATGGTCTCATTCATCTACTAGAAGGACCAATTATAAAAAACTTAAGACTGAAAATAGTCTTGATGCAAGATGTAAAGGAAGGATATCTGCTCACCACTGATACGTGGTCCTTCTCAGAGACGGGAACTAAGACTGGAACACTGGATCAGTTCAGCAAGAGACAGACAGAAAACAACTAACAGACAGCAATGCAAATGTTAAAACTGGCGACAAGTTGAAGGAGATATTTCCTACCCCTATTTTTAGTGAGTACACTTGGGTTTTTTTTTTAAGGCATAAACACAGCATAAACATGCTCAAGTCCCAGCCAGTGAATCCAAAAGGAGAGAATAAAAGTTTTGATAAGGTTTGACTAGAGAACGAATCATCATCAGTGACTGCAAAACTTACTTGGCTTTAATCATTTATGCACTCGATATCAGTAAATTCACTTAAGAGTCTTGTGCACACATTCACACGCTGTTCTGGGTCTTGTACTATAACGATACAATGCAATAACCCAAAAAAGGAACCCAGCAAAGAAAAAAGGCCACTTCAAGCCTTACTGTTAGGTAAAAATCAAACCTATGTTATTAAATAAGATTTTGGGATCACAGCGGTGATTGGGTGGTTTTACTTCGGTTTACCTTTAGTTCCTAGCAGTTTCCACGTAAATTATTGCCCCCTACAAACAGCAGGCTGGTAAGCCCTCTCAGGAGAGTGGCCTAAAATGATGTGTCCTCGTAAGAGTCAAGATAGTTCCTTTAAGATTAGGATTAGGCAATTTGTCAGAGAGTGGTAAGAAAGCTTGCACTGCCATTACCTGTTATGCCTATTTTGTGGCTAGGGAGATGTAATCTATAGAAGCTGACATGATCTTTCTTAGGCACCCAATTCTCTATAAAAGTCTCTCTGAAATGCACCTCTTCCTTTCAAAGAAAGCCCCTGTTGTGGAACTTGCGGCTGCTTGAAGATGTGTCCACTCTAATTAGACCCACCATTTCATCAAAACCTCTGATTCCACATGCCAGAAGGCAGAGAACAACCAATTTTAAAACCAGAAGAAGAAAATTAAATATTTGAAAATATCATTTTAAGGAGCTGAAGTTCCATTAAAATATATTTTTTTAACAGAATGTGTTAGGTAGGAGCACAGAGACAGTTTATCAAGAAACACCACAACAGATGCAGGTGGCAGACTAAAATATATACCCAATATGAATGGGGAACATAAAATTGTGTGGGAAACTCATTATGATCTCTGTTACAGGTCTTTTTATCCAGTGAGTTTGAATGTATAACATTAGGACTTCACTAAAATCGGAGGTGCTCTCTTCACTTCAACAGCACAAAACAAAGACTCTAACTGGGACTTCAATACTTTTCTTAAATAAAGTTTTCCTAATGAAATATTAATATTAAAACCACACTACAATTAAACAGTCACATCTTACCCATCTGTTATTTCTTTGCTTACTTGATAATTTGCCAAAATTCAGTCATTTGTAATGTCTTTCCCAGTCATTACTGAAGATTAGTATGGTTCAAATGTACATCAAGATATTGTTACCTACAGTAATTTGTACACCAGAGGATTTTATTTCATATTCCTGACAATATTAATACATTTGCTCATTTTTTGCTGGCTGATCAATTATGAATATCACAACCACAAAATAAAGACATTCCAGACGGTATCTCTTGCTCATCCTCTTTGCTTGAAGGGAGCACAGGCAGGCACTGCTGTACTTCACAAGAGCAGCAGCAGAAAAAAACAAATGGATTCTCAGCTGTAGGAGCAGAAACAAAAGGATGAAAACAGTGACGATTCCTAGCCAGTAACAGACAGGGATAAGAGGACTTAAGTCAGGGGAGAAAAAGTAGAAGGGCAAAGACAAGGTTGGGGAGACAGAAGGAGAACCTTGGTGTCCAAGACCTCAGAAGAGGAAAAACAGGAGAACTATGTACTTTGAAGACGCTGGAGAAGTCTGTCTACCATTCTTTGACTGCCAGGAGGAACAAAGCTGTCATTTGCAAGACTCCAGGAGCTGACTGTAATCTTCCAGACTTTTTCCAAAAATAGGTAGGCGAAAGGAACCTGGCATCTTCTAGAGGTGAAGGACTCCAACGATTTCCAGGTTGTACAAACGTGTATTTTACAGCTTGAAA